ACCTATTTTTCATATAACTGCAAAACAACTTAAAATGGTTCTGAAGTATTAATATGCAAAACTGCCTGTAAAAACAGCTACACTGTCTCTAATCTTCTAAAGATAATATTTGTAAGCTTCATCACCTGATTTTTTGAGATCCCTGTGATTAAAAGTTCTCAAATACTTTTTGGGTTATTTTTGTTGTAGCTATTTATCATCATGCCTTGATAGCACAATTGTTTTATATTTATCTATGTTCCCACCACCCTGCAAAAATTGATTCCATGGCAATATGTGCATATGTATGGTTATATGGGAAATAAGCAGAGTTTAATTGCTGAGGCTGAATTTGTATTTGGGCTTCATTTCTTGGGAGAGTAAAACCAGAGAATTTATTTACTTCCCTTTCAGGATCTTCTTCCCCAGCTGGTAGAATGATAACAAAAAGCAACAGTAAATGGTACAATAGTTGCACTGATTTTTTAATCAAAGTTTAACTATAGCTGTTCCTTTAATCAATCTCTTGGTTCTAGAGTAACAAATCAGAGCTGAACAACATGATTTCACAATTAATGAAAGCAGAAGAGCTATTTAAATGAACAATCCTCATAGTTAACCAAACATTGTCTTGTAGCTCCTGGATTCCAGAAAGTTCTCTGTTTGAAAAAGGTAACAAGAGAAGTAGCAGACCAAAAAAAGCCTGCAACAACACTAAACAACCTATGACCTGTAAGGTCAATCCTTTCAGAGATATTTACTTAAAGAGAAAAACAGAATGAACACAGGCAGGTAAAAAAACAGTGGAGTGGGAGCAGTTTCTGATTTCCTGCTGACTTCCCCATTGACATTGCTTGTTGGAAGCTGGTAGAAATCATTCCTCCGCAGCTCACCCATGAAACTACTTGCCGCTTTGCCTGGAGAAGTGGAACAAAGAGAGCCATTGACCACCTTTGTTCCCCATCCAAGGTATCTCCATGGGAGGGTGACTGAGGTGCAGCATAGGTCAGGAAGGTGCATGGGTGTGCACAAGAGGTGCTACAGAGGCAGGAAAGGTCTGTGGAGCTGGGCAAGTAGCTGGCACAATGGAAGTGCAGAGGGGCTGGGGAGGCTATGTGGTTGTGAGAGCTAGAACAATTTGCAACTTTTTCTGTCAGCTTCTCCATTGCCAACGCCCCCTGCCAGCTTCCCATAAGTAAAGATTTTGCTTGTGGGTAGCTGATAGGGAACATCAGCAATCATGATTGAGTTTACACTTCCTACTGGCTTATCCATTGACTTGTGGGAAGCTGGCAAGGAATATTGTAATGAGAACCACTTAACTGTGATTGATCACAGCAGCACAGCGGTGCTGAAGGACCCACAGCTTTCCTAAATTTCATTACCAAGCAGTAATATGTCTCAGCATTTGGTACGTTAGCCCCTTTAAGACATAATGATTCAATAATTGTTGCCCTATGATGCAGTTGAAGGTTACAAATGGGCTAGTAGACATGAGAGTTTTAGTGGTATATAGATGGAATGGATAAGCTCTTACACACTTACATAGATACCCACAAATGCCTTTTGTGCTTCATAGAGAGCTTATTTTTGTCTCTCGTTTTATAACCTAAAAGTGTAGGACACTGACCTCACTTGTTTTCATCAATTTGTCACAGAATATTTTAACAGTTCAGAGGACATTTTGGGGACAGATATAATTGTTCTCTTGGCAGTTCTTGATCATGGAAGTTATGTCCTGATTCTTGGTACTTTTAAGCAGTCATACTTTGATTTTTCTCCTAGTCTCTAGCATATCATTGTTCTAGTCCACCCTAGCATGATGTTACACTTCTGTATAGCTGTGCTTTCCAGTGGACTGTATGTACTTCATTAGTCTAAGTATTCATTCAGTAGGTTGTTACGGTTATTAGGCATTATGATTACTAGAATGGGTAATTTGCTATAGCCAAGTCTGCAGACAGATTATATTTCATTCAAACATGGATTCTCTCCAGTTCAGTTATTCCATATTTTTTGTCTATGCAAAATACCCTACCAACAATATGTGGTTATTTTATTTAAGTACAGTTTTGTTTTGGAATGGGCTAGCAGGCATCAGTTGCCTATAGCAGCGGCCCCTAACCTTTTGGGTACCAGGGACTGGTTTTGTGGACAGAGATTTTTCCATGGAGCCGAGGGGGGCATGGTTTTGCATGCTGCCTGCATCCCATGGACAGGGCTTCACTTGTTTGCGTGGCCTGGTTTTTGGCATGCCGTGGCCCAGTGCTGACCCATAGACCGGGGGTTGGGAAGCCCTGGTTATAGAATATAATGGAGAATGTGTGGAAATTGCCTCTGTACTACCTCATAGAATCTGGCTTTGATAGTTTTGTCATATCTACCTTGTCAAGATATGAAGAAACTTCACCTAGAACTGAGTGATAAATCCTTGAGGGTAGCGGGTCTCTTTGCTCTTCTCTAGTAGGTGACTATCTGAAGCACCTGCCGAGAAGGCACCTTGATCAAGCACACTTGTACTCTACTACCACTCTACTACCCATAGAGAGTTAAATGAATATTATGTTTCTGATTGACGTATGTAACATGCCATGCTTTGGGTACCTCACAGGGCACTTAAGAATATGACTTGTTGGACAGGAAATACCTGGTTCACAATGATGGTCTTGCTGAATGACCATAGGCAAATCACTGATACTTTAACCTCTCCCATCCTTCACTGCCATGTGTAATGCAAAGAAAACAATGTTGACTGTTACAAAGCTGCTGAACAGGATTACCAGAAATGTCATGTTCTAAATCGCGAACGTATCACTTGTGAAGAGAGTTTTCAGTTATTAGATGACCTTAAGTTTTTTTCCTAACACCACTTAAAATTTCATCTCCAAATTTCTATTTTGACTCACTTCTTCCAGTAAGAAAAAAAAGGTCTGTTCCTTACAGCAGAGGTCACTTGACGTTGCTTGGATACTATAAATCAAACATCCCCCCAATAAATACTAGAAGTAGTGAAATACTGTCATCTTTAGCCTTACTTTTTCCCCAAATATTCTTAGAAATGGGTAGGACAATTATGTTTAAATTTCTGTTGCTAAGCAATACAACTGTTAAGTGAGATTTGCACTATTTTACAATCTTTCTTGCCATAGTTGTTAAGTGAATCACTGGAGTTACATTAGTAACAGAGTTGTTAAAAGAAACTGGCTTCCCCAATGACTGTGCTCATCAGAAGATCGCAAAAGGTGGTCATATGACCCTGGGAGGCTGCACAAGTACATGCCAGTTGCCAAGTGGCGAAATTTCATTGCGTGACAATAGGAATGTTGCAATGGTCATAAATGTGAAAACTGGTCATAAGTTATTTTTTTCAGTGCCATTGTAAATTCAAGCAGTTACTAAATGAATGGTTGTAATTAGAGGATTCCCTGTATTAGCATTTGTCCTAGATATACATACCAGTTTTGATTTTTGCTGTCTCAACGCTTCAGAGGGGGAAAAAATTCCTCACTAGTCTATATTTTGAATTTTTTCTGTAAGCAGGTCAGAGGTATCCTTGACTTAAAATTATTTGTTTAGTGACTGTTCAGAGTTACAGTGGCACTGAAAAAAGTGACACGTCCATATTTCACATTTATGACCATTACAGCATCCCCGTGGTCACGTGATCAGAATTCGGACACTTGGCAAGTGGCATGTATTTATGATGGTTGTAGTGCCCAACGTCATGTGCTCAATTTTTTATGACTTTCTGACAAGCAAAATCAATGGGGAAGCCAGATTGACTTTAAGAAGTTTGTTACTAATTTAATACTGCAGTGATTCACTTAACAATTAGGGCATGAAAGGTTGTAAAATGGGGCAAAACTCATTTAACAACTGTCTCACTTAGCAACAGAAATTTGGACTTAATTGTGACTCTCAGTTGAGGACTACTATAGTCTACCTGAACTCAATGCCTGAATATGGCATTTGACACTTTTACTGAGCCAACTCCATGCCTTTATGCATTAATATTATATATTACAAACAAATTGAATGCTGAACTGAAAAGTTAAGCCAAAGACTTTGATTTTTCCTCTTCCTTGCCACCAATGATGAAGCTGCTGCTGTGCTGACTGAGAACCTGAAAGGATGGTGACTTGATACTGTTGTGAACTGCACAGAAGAGCACGTAGTTTATTGTAAATAAGCTTAATAGCCAAAACCTTGAGTAATAACATTGGCATGCAGGAATTAAAGCTCTGTGATTTAGCCTATCAGGGTAATAGTAGCCTTGACCGTGTCTGCTGCACGTGCTGTGGGTATCAGTTCATTCATAACTTATTTATTGTATACTCCTTGTGTTTATGTATGAGCGAATAAAACAGTTGATCACTTATTTTGTTTCTGTGGCACGTGTGGATTTGTATGTGCAGGCAGTGTCTAAAATAAACTTGTAGGAGAAGAGCATAGATTCATTTTTTTCTAGGTGTCTGATCCCTATTGTGTAGTGTGCTTGCTAAATGTTCTCTCGTATTTAATCCTTTGATTCTACAGTCTGTATATTAGCTATAACCTGACTTGGGCTCACTGTTCTGAACTATCTGCTCTGCATTTGATAAAAACAATTTTTCTCTTAGATTCTCTGATTTTATCAAGCACTGTTTTCAGCCAATCAGTGAATCCATGAGAGAAAATTCAAACTAAGGTAAAATAATCAGATACATAAATAACATCCGTAAGGAATGAAGAGACTTGTGGCTACTTTAGCCAAATATACTGTGATAAAAAGGTGCTGACTGGCGGTGTTGAAAGGAGCATGTAATAACAATCTATCATTGTTTCTCTACAAATGTGATGGTGAGCAAGATTAAATAAACTGTTTTGAAATGGGGTCATTCTATATTGTCTGTTAACTTCTTTTTCAGTACAGGTTGATCCTGACCAGTTGGTCTTTTTCTGTTAGACTAAGAAATAGAATATTAATTTTTCCTCCCCCCCCCTTTTTTTTTTCTTCTTCTCCAAGGGCTCCCAAGAAGGATTTCCTTTTCTCTTCAAGGGATGTCCCTACAGAATTGGCTAAACAGCATTTGACCTTTCTAACTACCAATCCCCATCCTTAAGTGAAGGCTACCTTAGATCCAGCTCTGAAAACTACGGCCTTCTCCTCCTTCCTGATTTGTCATCATTCAGCCACTTACTAAGAAGGAAAACATGAGTTCCAAGAATGAATCAGGTAAGTAAAAATCAGGCAAAAGTGACTGAAAAAGTAAGGCAGCTGGGTAGTTTTCTTGGGCTTTGTCAGTTTGGAACAAAGAGATGTATGACTTTGGGCTGGTGAAGATGTTGCTATTTCTGATTCTGTTAATGAAGGTCAGAGATTCACTTGGGAATTTGCATCTCTTTATACTTTGCAGTAATTTAATTGATAATGTATTTCAAACTATCTATTGTTGCTGCAGTTCACTGAGGAGTAACTACTGCAATCTCTCCTTGGTTTGTTATAATTAGTAAGAGAGATTGAAAGTTTCTAAGCAAGCCTTTTACACACACACAAACATACACGCACACACACACACTTATTGACATGCAATCCAGGAAAAAATTAAATATGCCAATGATGATTTTTTTTCAGAATAATTCAAAGTAATCTCTTGTGGTTAAGTATGAATGATACATACGTGCTACAAATACGTACATTAGTGGTGAATCAGAGGTAAACTGCTGATGCGGAAACAGCCTCAGTGATACTGGAGTACAGGCAGTCCTTGGCTTATGACTACATCTGGGATCAGACTTTCTGTTGCTAAGCAAGATAGTTGTTAAGTAAGTCATGCCTGACTTTACAAGCTTTTTGGTCAAGCTTACTTGTTAAGCAAATCACTATAATTAAGTGAATTACATGGTCTGGCTTCCCCCATTGATTTTGCTTGTTGGAAACCAGTTGTGAAGGTTACAAGGCAATCACATGACCCCAACATGACTGCCACCATTGCAAATAAACGCTGATTGCCACATGACACTGGGGACTGCTGTGATGGTTGTAAGTATGAGTACCCGTTGTAAGTCACTTTTTTCAGTGCAGTTTTAATTCTGAATAATAGATAAATAATAGTTGTAAGTTGTGAACTACTTGTATGGTGAAGTGTAAAGAAAACCTGACTTCTCTGTCTGCTTGACTCCCACTACATTGTATATCATTTATAATATATAGAACAGGATTGCAGTTGCATTGGCTTGCATAAAATGTTTTGCTAATTCAGTGTCCCCTGGAGATGCTGGAATGATTCATGGCTGTTTGGGAAGCATGGCTGTTTGGGAAATTGTGGTCCTAATAAATTTGGTTGAGATCTGACTTCTACATGCATTTTCAGTTGTTTTCATTTCTCATTTCCTAATTGCTTTTCAGTTTTAGACAAAACCATCCTTTTCCATATACATTCTTTATAATATGCTATCACTATTTGTGGAAGAGAATTGCATCTGATGATTGAGTGAATCTCTCAAGGTTACAACACTTGTGTATTTTAACACTTTTTGAAATTGTTGAGATGCAGAGTAAAGCTTCTTCAGAATTGTGGAGATGGACAGATTGATATGGAATAAATTGCTCTTTAGACATCCCATCCTCAGACTGTTTTTTTCATACCAGCACTTTGAATTTAATCTGAAAAAATATTAGTGATCATTCCTCTTGTCCTGTATGAATATGTACAGTACTTGCTTATTTGGACATCTGTCATGATCTCATGTTTTGGGTTTCCAGCTATGAAATTACATTTTTCTACTTTTATATTGATTTTTAAATTGGTTTTGCCCTGTGTGCAAATGATTTGAATACTTTCAGAATGGATATGGATGTATAAAACATTCGATTGACTTATAACTTGTTGAATCTTTCCCAAGAAGATTAAAGTTTCCTTCCTTCCTTCCTTCCTTCCTTCCTTCCTTCCTTCCTTCCTTCCTTCCTTCCTTCCTTCCTTCCTTCCTTCCTTCCTTCCTTCCTTCCTTCCTTCCTTCCTCACCTTTATTATTTTTATAAATAACTCAAGACGACAGATATACCTAATATTCCTTTCTCCTCCTATTTTTCCCATCACAACAACCATGTGAAGTGAGTTGGGCGGAAAAAAGAGTGACTGGCCCAAAGTCACTCAGCTGACTTTTATGCCTAAAGTGGGATTTGAACTCACAAAGTCTGATGTTTTCTATCCTAATGCCTTAACCACCAAGATAATCTACTACTCCTTAATGCTTTCTTAGCTCAGTGTGTTTTATCTTCAGGAAGTGACAGAGAATATATATCTTCATAGGACAGACTAATGTAATCTAGCTGTTGATGGCTTTTCTAATTGGGGAACTCTGTAACAATATATGACAAAGCTTGCTATTTGCTTTTAGCTTATAGTTCTTGGTCAAACATGAATTGCAAATAATGCCTGTTTGGGGAAAATAAGAAATACTTTTGGACACCATATAGAAAGAATTTTGTAGGGTGAGGAATCTACTTAAATTTCATACATTATTTGCAAGTAATATACTTTTACTGTAGAAAAAGAACAAAAAGAAATGTTCTCTCAATTTTTTTATTCAGAAGAAAAGAAAATAGTGCTATTCCTAAAGAGTGTATTGTGTTCAAAATCCATTGTGTGAGATAAAGAATGCAGCTTTGCTAATAAAATACTTTTCTTTAGTATTCTTTTTATGTTCATGCATAAATTTAAATATCCACAAGATTGTTTCCAAATTCACGAAGCAAGATCAAAAGGTGAGTTTAAAACTGTGTTATAAAAGTTGCTGTAAGCATTAAAAGATATGCCCTATTAAACATAGTTAAATGAAGAATTAGTAGAGAAACATTTGAAAAAAACAAAGCAATCATATTTAGAATTCTGCATGCTGTATTTTGAAAAGACCATAAAAGTTAAAATAGCCCATTAAAATGTGCTGTAATCAGAGGGCTATATCTATCTCTTTGATGGAGTACCTGGGTTGAATACTGTATAAATAAGTCGTTTAAATTTCATTGACGTTTAGGTAAACTGATCTTTCCTGTTGTTTTTGACTTCAAACTGTCAATGGCTATGCTAGTTAGAGATTACTGGAATCAAACATATCTGAAGAAATTGGAGAAAGACATTCTGGACTGAAACTGCTCATCTATTGTCAACCTCATAAGATTTTTTTTTTTAACTTGGCAAAATGGTAGAGCAATTCCTGATCCTAGATCCTAAATCTTAACATATATGGATGGTTAAAAAAAGTCAATATGGCAGCCATAATGAATGTGATCAGAGTTTTGCAATATACATAAAAATAGATGAAGCTTCAATTGCACCATCATGATGGCTATCTTGACTTTTTTGACCATACCCCCCAGTCATCCCTGATATAGACTAATATATTAAGGATTTTTTTTAAAGATGGGATACAGATATTTGGGTAGGGGATTGGACAGATAAACTGGAAATGCAAGCTCCCTAGGCTGGCAAGGAAATGAAGAAAATAAATGAATTTTGGCTGATTATAGAATTACCCAGCTCCAAAGTACCTGCTTCAGATAATTGAAGGTTAAGGGCTAGGGCTGGGAAAATAGCAACTGCTCTGTCTGGGGAGAAAGAATATGGAGTTGTCTGTCAGGATATAACCTAACATGGGTTAGTGAAAAATTGAAATTGATAGAATGAAACTAAACAGCTTCATGACAGCATCATTCCTAGATAATGTTGCTCTTATACTAGAGTTGGAAAAAATACAGAAGGAAGAACTGGTAATGCTAAAATAGGGAAAGAGCTACTTGGGATCCCTATAGAACATTTAAATTTTACAATGTAAGGAGAATTTCTGAAAGCTGATAAAGACATGTAGAAATACACATGTAATTGAATTATTTTTATTTATTTCAATTGTGGGTTGAAAAGACTATTCTAAATTCCCTGGTCATTTTTCTTGTCTACAGTTATTGATTTAATTGATAAAATGTTCCATATAGTTTGCACATTTACTACATAAATGTAGTAGAGGCAACTCCTGAAAACTGACTGTTGGATATACAATGTGACTAATGATTGGGGATAGCTTTAGCTTATTACTGCATTCCAAAATTCAGTTCAGAAGGTCCACATTTGGACTATGTGATTTTTTGAGCTAATAAGACAAGGAGGTTAATGGTGGAATAGGAGCAGTTTCCCAAGGGTCTTTTACTTCCATTTCTACCTTTATTTCTTGGGAGGAGAGAGGGAGTGTAATGCCAAAAATTGACCATTGCTGCTGAATTTCAGCAGTTTGATCTTAATTGCTGGTAAACTGCAAGTGGTTGTCAGTCCTTGCCTTAAATAACAGAACTTTTGCTGGAAACTATATGGAATGCTCGCTGGATCATTTCAGCCTTAGTCATAGATTGCCATTGACTCCAGACTGTTTTCAGCCCACTTGTAGATGCCCTTGTTAATTCTGATGCTGATTTCCACCTTAATTGCAGAAGTCAGTACTATATCCATGATCTGCATTATGCAAAAATACATTTTCAAAGAAAATATTTTTTATTTTTTATAGTAATTTTTATTAAAAAGTTTAATAATACAAAGATAATACACTAGTACAAACTATGAAAAATAGGTTAAAAGTACAGAGAAAAATGAAATATGAAAAAGAAAACATAAAAAGAGGAAAAATTATAAAAGAAATGACATACAATTTTAAATTTTTTTATCTTTGACATTTAAATCCAGGATCTCTTCTTCCCATATCTCATCTCTTATGTATAAAGAAATTATAAAACCTCATTATTCTGTCTTAATCAGCAAAAGTTCATTAAGATTTACTAGTAATATATAGTTTAATCTTCTTCAACTTGATCAATTTGATTTTCCTTTAGTTTACTTTTAGCACAGTAATATATTTCTTTCAAAATATAAAAATAGCCTTCTCAAATCTTATCTGGTATCTATAAACAAACCTTTAGAGATTCATTTCTTGTACCTAGTTAAAAAAAACATTAAAAGTTACTAGAAACAACAACATATTAAGAATCTTGATCTGTAATCCCTTCAAATGATGTCTTACAAATTATTTCTTATCATTTTCTTTTTGTTTCTTCCTAAAAATTCCTTCACAAATGTAATACATACCAGAAATAGCAATATCTATCTTTGGTGATGGCCCAGTGGTTAAAATGCAGTATTGCAGGCTAACTGCCCACAGCCAGAAGTTCGATCCTGACCAGTTCAGGCTGAC